GATATCGCCATAAAAATGAAAAAAGAATAATAATAATAATAATAATAGGAAACCGACGGAAAACAATAAGGTCTTCCGAAGGAAGTCGGAAGACCTTAATAAGAATAATAATAATAAGAAGAAACAGTAGAATCACTATAAGGTCTTCCGTGAAGACGGAAGACCTTAATAATAAGAAACCGAGTAAAAACAATATGTTCCCAAACTCCGTTTGGGGAACATAATAATTAACACTTACAAGTTATCAAATACTATTTAACAATATACGATAATTTTCTAAATACTTCTAGCGATTAAGAGAGTTAAAAAGGCAGAGGAAATTCAAAATACACACAAGTGCTACTTAGAATGGATTGTTTCGATAATTATTTTAATTTTGTGCACAATTACTTTTAAAAATTACATTAAATCAATTTTCCTTAAGCGAGAATCTAGCAATGGGTAAATATTAATCGAATAAACTTACCTTTGCTCTTGTCAATCAGAGGTTTAGTTACAAGTGACGTAACAACGTGTACGCGTAACATTGACGTACACGTTCTATTTGACGTCAACGTCAATAAAATGATTTAGTTATACATACACGTGTACGTATGCAAACGTCGTGATTGAACAGTAAATTAAATGAACGGCATTGTATTTATTATTTTTAATTTAGACAATCAATGGTGAAATGGAATTTATACTTACTCTAGTCATAGATATCATAAACTATGAAAAAATATTATATATGTTGTCGTCTCAATGCAGTGAATCGCTCTAAATATCCATCACCTAGTATCTCTACAGGATATTAAGCTGCATTCTGCATCACTTTAAAAATGGAAGCAGTCATAAAAATTATTTACTTGAAGATAAAAACGACTACATTTTGCACTTTGTGGAGGATGGGGGGGGGGTCCAAAAGAAAATTTTTTAGAAAACGATAAAATGTGAAGGATCAATCATTATAACGTCTAGAAAGGAGGCATAGAATAAAATTTAATACATCAATACATTGTTAAACCCAAAATCAGACACCGCCCCCTTTTTTTTAAATACGCGTCTGCTCTAGATCTTTACAAGTGATAGTACAAAGAAAAAAAAATAGTTAATGAAATAAAATCTCAAGAAGCACTTGACGTTACACATAGGCCTACTACCTGTAAGTTATTAGGCGAGGGGTAATATTTTTGTTATGTCACTAGTACCAGTGGATGTTAAATAATAGTTCTAAAATATTTTATTCTAAAAAAAAAATAAATAAAGAATATAGAGGTGTTAAAATAGGTTTTAATAAAAATAACAGAAAGGGAAAAATCACCAAAAACCATGAATTTTTATTTGGTGCATTGGCGGGCGAGGTCTTCAAATGAATCCTGCGTACAAAATACTCAGTAAACATGCTGTTTGGTATCAGTTTGAGTTTAACTTTTCATTGATAAAAATACTAATTAATACTTTGATGGAATCATCGAATCATCATTCATGAAAGTTTTAGATAGACTAGTGTTCTTGTTTTATTGCACAAAAATCAATCAACTGCATCGAAAAATAAAGAATTTAACCCATAACTTTACCCGTTTACATCGTACTTGTAGACAGTGTATTACACGTTCTAAACTTGTAGCTACACGTTGGATTTGACGTCATGACGTCGGAGAACACAACAATTAATGACGTCACCCGTACAAGTTCGTCGCAAAACGTGTAACTAAACCTCTCTATTCTTGTTCACATCGTGTACTTCTTAGTCGCCGTTATGATCATGACTACCGGAAGTTGATTTTCGGAAGTCTCTAGAATTTAGAGTTCCGAGAGTAAAATTGAAATGCAAAACACGGTCTGTCCATAGAAACAACTTTTTTAGACACTTTTTTTTGGACAAAACGTCGTGTCCAAGTTTTGTTGGGTACTAACCGGCAAATACCCAATTAAGGTGTTTTAAGCACATTTAGCGACATTTCTTATTGGGTATACCCAATAAGCAAGAAGTACCCAATAAGTACAAAATGAGGATGAAAAATACCCAATAAATGCACTCTCGTAACCACGGACAGACGGATGCCGGACAAAATGTGATCAGAAAAGCTCACTTGAGCCTTCGGCTCAGGTGAGCTAAAAACTCAAATATCACAAACTGAACACAAAAAAGAAACAAAAAAACACCACAATCTTAGGGGACTCTCTATGTTGTCACAACATGCTGTACTTCCATCTGAAGCCCCGTTTTGGTCTAAAATGCTTTTTTTGATATGTTTCTGTCTTGAACAAATTCAATTAAAACTGATATTATGCAGATATAAGAAGCATGTTTTTTTTTTTGTAATTTTGACCTAATGACAGCCAAGTCTGTTCAGTTAGAACAGATTCAGAATATCAACTTTGAGTTATCGTGAGAATTACAACAAAAGTTAAATGAATAATAAACTTGTCTAGATTTAATTAATTTATCTGTTTATTGCAGAAAAATAGTCATAAACTGATTAAAATTAGCCCTGTTCAGGCTTCGGTTTGGTAAAGCAATATACAAACGACGCACAGAATGTCACGTGCGGTTTGGCAAGTCCGATCTAAATGAAAACTGGACAAGTATCTGCGCTCGCCCTAAAGGTCATACCGTCAACATATTAGTCAAAATGTGGTTTATATAAGGACCCATGTCAAGTGATATTGAGCTCAGAGAAAAAAAATGAACATGACCTCTCACACATGGTTTCTATTTTCTTTCACTGTGGGTCAATATCACTTGACATAGGACCTTATAACTTCATGTTGGCCTACACAGGTAAATAATTGTGAAATAACTGATTATTCAAGCTGATGATTCATTTGCATTACTTGATATACTATCAATATTAATTCACTATGTAGGCTTTTCTTTTTTTACATCTTCATCTCAGCAGGTCAGACATTAGAAAATTGTTTTTTGAACAGTAAAGTATTTCAATATACAAACTTATTCTCTTCAGATAAGTGGACGGGCTTTCGCCTACATCCGCTTTTTAAATGTATGTTTCCCTCCATATCATTCTCATGCATATGATTAAGGGTTATGCTAAGCTACAATCTATTTCAACTGTTCTGATGATGTTATCCTTCATTAATAATCGGATAGTTGCGGTTGAAGACTTTTTTCGTAAAATATTGATGCTTTTTCATAATTTTGAACAAAAATAGATCATCTATACCTTGTCATAAGTCATAAGTTCCAAGAAATCGAAAGAGTTGGTTACCAGAGAACACATGAATTCAAACCGGATGTACTTCAGTCTGTATTTAACTACGAAACCATGCTCGGTATAAATATTATCATCCGAATAAATAGAGGGGGTAAAAATTAAAAAATAAATAAGAAATTCCGCTTTGAAAGAACTCATTTGTACACAGAGAGAGAGAACTATTATATTGAGCATTCATGTTATTAAAAGGCGAAACGTCGCCGTTTTACAACATATACAGCATGGAACACATGTATACATGTACGGTGCTTTGAGGCCTACATTGTCTATTTATTGCAAGGAAGTAAATTAAGTATGTCATATCACTCAAATTTCCCTTTCATTTCTTGCAATATATGTACTAATGTCTAAGAATTTTAGATATCCAACTTTTCAAAATGGCGTCAGACCAAAAGTTGTCTCCGATAGTGAAGATTTGTTGTTGCCAAATATTACAATTTTTTACCGTAAAAAATTAACAAAAATATACGTACACTAATCCTTGGTTGTTGTTCATTGCATTTATCACAGTCTCAAAGACACTGGGTGGTGAAAACATCATTAACTTTTCACATTTACCAGCTGCTTACACCTTCTTCTTCGTCCTTCTCAATCCTCGAAAAATGGCGCCTCGGTAAATTGACCAATGAAATAAAGCGCTCTGCAGGATGGGAAAAAAACTGTTTTGTAACAGGGGTATGGAAATGATCGACAACTCCTGTCAGGGTTTTTTATATTTATTCACAGTGGAGTGGCATGGCATATACATCAATTTTAATACAGCCCTGTAAATATCATAAAACAACTATAAATAGGATGTAAATATCACACACATAATGTTCAATCATTACTTTTACATGTAAAATGAAGATAATAGATTATCATCCTAAGTTTACACAATTATCATCAAAGGGAGATAACTCTTGAATATATAAATCTTTACATATTTCTCCCAAAATAATCATAAAAAGTATCCAAGATAAAAACATATTATTCTCACCATTCTATGGGAACAGGCTTTCCCAATACAATAAATTGTTTGAATCACAAATGTCAGTATGAATGGTGATCTGTAATTTAATACAATATTTAAAAATATAATCTATTTAAAATATACCAATTGCTCACTTGAAAAAATATAATCAAAAATATCTTAATCATCATAAAACCACATAATCTGAGTAATATCAAATTACTTCTAGAAAATACTTTATATTGATCTTGTAACTGTTAATAAATATGCATCATAAAAATAATAACTTTCTCTCAAAATCATTCATTCACTTTAGTAAGTGCAAATTGAAATAGCTTTTGCATTCTACAGGATGAACATTTAAAATAAGAAAATATTAGTAACTTACCAGAGAAGAAAAATCTTCAGTCTCAAGTCTATGTATATAGGTCTAAATAAAGGTCTGGTCTGATCAACCCACAGAACAAAGAATGGTCATAACAAAGCGGAAAAAGTCCAGACCAACCAAGAAAACCAATCGAATCCGACCTTTCAAATCAATGACCAATAAAACCCAAAATAACAATTAACACTTCCAAAATACCTGATCAATGCCCTGGGGTATATACAAATATGTACAGGTAATACAGGTAAGGGAGAACTAAGGAGTGGATCTAGGTTTTTAATAAGTTAAATAAAAGTTAAAAATAAATATTCTGGTAAGTTCTATAACTTTATTATACACAAATCTAACACTATTACACTCTTCCCCCGGTCGCGGAATGACGTCCATGTCATTCAAAAGGGAAACTATAATCCTGAAATATAAAGCATATACAATTAAAACATTACTTGGATGATGATGAAACCAGATTTAATAAAGCCAACTGGCAAACACTAGAGTCCACACTCTGTAAAGTTCCTCGTTGCATCAAAACCGTTATGTAGTTTGCTCTCTGTAGCCAGTCTGGTTGCGTCACACTCTGGTTCATCATGATGAAATCCTTTGTCCATGGTGGCTTACTCTTGGCTCTTGTTGATCTTCTTGGTGCTGGTACTGGTACTTGGGTAGAAGGCTCATCCTCCTGGTGATCAGTATGATCAGGATGTGAAGGCATATCAACATCATCAGCATCTTCATCAACATCAGACTGAGAATCTTCATCAACATCAGGCTGAGTGTCTTCATCAACATCGGCATCTTCATAATCCTCTTCAGCATGGTCCACAGGTTCATCCTGTTGAAAAGCGTCCTCTCCTGAACCAATAACTGAAGCTTCCTCAGTCAAGGAATGGCCGTCACCATCTTGACTGGGAGTATCTGTGTGGGAATCTTCTGTCTGCATTGTAGGGTAAGCTACAAAAGAATCTGAATAAGAATTCTCAATAGAAACTGTTTCTACTGGTACCTCTTTTCTCACTGCCTTCCTTCTACCTCTTGGCGGTTTTGCTGGAGGAGGTGTAGGTTTCTGTAATTTGGAACCAATTGGAAGTAAAAGATTTCTGTGGAGTACTTTAAATCTTCCTTCACCATCCTCTCTTCTGACTTTATACACAGGGATGTCTTCATTAGCTTTGGCAACGACTACATATGGCTCATCTACCCATTTGTCAGCAATCTTATGTTTCCCATCATATGCTACAATCTTAACCAGTACACGGTCTCCGACCTGTAAAGTAGCTGCTCGTCCTCTTAAATTGGAGTGGTCTTTCTGGCGTTGTTGGGAATGCTTGACTGCGGTGTTGGCTAGTCTGTATGCCTCTTGTAGCCGCTGCTTCAATCTATCAATATATTTGGTGTTGCAACCTTCCTCATCAGGATGCTTAAACCCAAAGATAACATCAATTGGTAGGTTAGGCTCTCTGCCAAACATTAAATAAAATGGCGAGTATCCTGTAGTATCGTTGGTTGTGGAATTGTACGCATGGACTAAGGAGTTGATGTGGCTTTTCCAGTCAGCTTTCTGTGAATTTTCCAAAGTCCTAAGCATACAAAGTAAAGTGCTATTGAAACGTTCTGTAATACCATTACCCATTGGATGTTAGGGGGTTGTTCTCGATTTGGAAATTTCTAAAAGTGTACATAGTTCTTTGATGATGTTGCTGCAGAAGTTGGTCCCTTGATCTGAATGAAGTTTCTCTGGAATGGCGTAGTGAAGGATAAAGTGATTAAAGATAGCTTCTGCAGTTGTTTTGGCTGTCTGGTTACGTGTTGGTACTGCCACGGCGAAGCGGGTAAAATGGTCTGTTATAACTAATATGTTTTGTATTCCTCCCTTCGCTGGTTCCATTGTTAGAAAGTCCATGCATACAAGTTCCAGTGGTTGCGATGTTCTTATGTTGACTAATTCCGCTTTCTGGTCACTTGTCTTTGTTTTCATGCATCTATCACAACCATCAATCCAGTTGATAATATCTTGCTGCATCTTTGGCCAATAGAATCTTCGCCGAACTAATGAAATGGTCTCATCTCTGCCCAAATGTCCCATCTTATTGTGTAGGTGATGTAACACAGTTGGTATTGTGGACATGGGTATAACGGATTGGTATAATAGTGTTCTCTGTTTTCACTTTTCGAAGTAGGATGTCATCTTTGACCTTTAATTTGGAAAAAATTCTGTAATGAATTAAGTCGACTTCGGTGTTCAAGGAATTCCTATCTGGTCTGGTTCCTAATTCCACTTGGGTTTTCCAGAATGAAATGGTAGGGTCCTTGTCTTGGATAGTTGATATGTCCAGATGATCTGCTATTTCTAAAGTTGGCTGCATAATCTGGCAAATAGCATCATCTATGGCTAAGGTCTCTGCATATGGCTGTCCAATTTGGCATATGGCTTTGATAGAGTCGCTGTTGATGGTTTCTGTGTTGTTGTCGAGTCTGGAAAGTTTATCCGCATCTGTGTTTGATTTTCCTGGTCTGTATAAAATTTTGAAGTTGAAGGAGGCCAAAGAAGAAATCCAACGATGTCCGGTAGAATCAAGTTTAGCAGTACTTAGAACATAGGTTAAAGGGTTGTTGTCGGTGTAGACTGAAAATTCCTTGCCTTGTAAATAATCAGAAAATTTTTCAGTAATCGCCCATTTCAAAGCCAAAAATTCCAGTTTGTGTATTGGATAATTCTTTTCGGACTTGCTCAATCCTCTGCTGGCATAGGCAATGACTCTATTGTACGTTCAATTATGATTAAGTGTGATTATGACATCTTATAATAGAATTTAATGAAGTTTTTCCCTGTTCATGGAATAAAACGGGGGCTCCTAAATATTTTTACCGATATGATGTATAGGCCTAGTATATTTAAATAGAAAGCGTTTTTTTTAAAAAAAAAATATGCGTGTGCCACTTCTAAAGAGAGAAAAAATTGTTTCTGGCGTAACATGCGTAACACCTCAAATTATTTGATTTTGGGATGGGGGTTTCGGGGCTTGGTTGTAGGTAGTGGCCGTCCTAGCTGAAAGTATACCCCCCCACTCTCCGCTACTTTTAACGGTTGTAATTATGAATTTATAATGTCACATCAAAACGATGTATATCAGTCTTTTAAATTGTGAACTTTCCACATGAATCCTAAAAGGCTTGAAAATGAGCTACAATTGTGATGATGGAAAAGTTCGGTGTTTAACATGTTTAAAAATTAATTGCTAATTAAAAACGCTTTTAGTTGAAAGAATCAGCCTGATTGTTAGAATAGGATACACTTGTGAAAATTAAGACAAAATACCATCAGATCTAAGTTTTTTTTTCTTTTGGATTAAAAAACTCATTGAACTCACTCCCTTTTTCTTGGTTTAAGATTTTGAGCCTGCTATCAACATATATTATTACTGGTGGAGGTGATTGCTGAATTGCTGAACTTTTCTCTATTTGCTATATTGTATTTGAAACATATTGGCCTTTAGTTAAATAAATTTCCCACATCATTTTAACACGTAGTATTTTTTAATGTATCAGAATGTCAAAAACCTTTTTTTTGTAAGGAGAGTTATTACAAGGTGGAACAAAACTAATAATTATCTAATCAAAGGCAGGAAAAATTAACGGTATATTAATTCAGTATTTTAGTCGTGACGGGTATTATTGGGTCATTGCAAAGATTGTGTCAAAAGTCATATACAGTCGATAGATACTCGTTAATGTGAAGGGCTGTGAGTTTATGCACACAGCTTTAGCTGGTCCCGCCCTGTATCTCTTCTCATGTACTTTTTTTCGTTAAGGAAATTTGGTAAAGTATGCTAGTAATAAAAAAAAATTCCCGGTAAGTTTATTACCCAAATTACCCTACAGGCCTGTAGTTTGAGTCTAGTCAAATTTAAGAACACGCATATTTTTTTTAAAAGAGTAATTTACAGCATGTAGAAAAAGAAATAAAGTAGTGGACAACGTAGATAAAGAAATGTTTGTAGTTGTATTAAAAACCTTCACATCTTTATATAAAGACATCAACAGAAAATGCACAGTAATACAATTACACACTTAATTCTTTTAATAGATTGCCTTAGCATGCACTATACAATGTACATCAAAAGCCGTTGTTCTTAAGGGAAACAAAATAACGTAAAATTTTATATATTTTTCTTTAGTTACATGTAGAGCAATGGCCTTTGGAGGGGGAAAATGGTTTTGTTAAATATACATGTGCATTTAGGACCTTTGTTTCATGCGAAAAGTGCAGACGTTTACTACACAGGGATCTGCGAACATATTTAAATTCCAAAGAAATAAAAAAAAAGTTTTTATATGAATATTTTTCTGATATTTTAAACATTATTTTATAGATGTCTTTGTAGTTGGATTACAAATTTAACACAAAACATCAACAAGACTATTAAGTACCGTTTTAATGTCATTGATCTATAAAGTGATTATGATTTAATATAATTATACGCGACGAGAATTTATATTTATTTTATACCTATAGAAAATTATTTAATTTTTAAACAGGATAATTTTATTTTAAATCAGTAATGAACATTGAAATCGAAATTCTAAATAGTTTACTATTTCATTTAACTTCTAAAAATAAATGTAGGTTAATTTTTTAATATATTTATGTTCTCTTGTATAACATGATTATTTACAATAATTTTTAATGATTATAAAAAAACACAAATCATCATCTTGATTTTAAAAACAAATTTAACACAGGCTGTGTGTGTACATCCTTGACAACAGCCCATTGTTCCCTGTATGTAGAAAACCCTCTCAAATCACATAGAATATACAAAAAATACACAGTGACAGGTGTCTCCTGTCTCCAGGTGTCTTCGCGGCACGTGTCTCCACCTCATATGGCACGTGAGGACAGTTGCCTGTAGTTACACAGGCCGTACCAACGTTTTCAAATATGCTTTTATTGGGGGGGGAGGCTTCCCAAGAAAAAAAAAAGACAACCAAAAAAAAAAAACAAACAAACAAACAAAAAACAAATAATAATAAATAAATCAAAAAACTAACAAAAAAAGTATCTTAAACAATATTTACTACAGCAAAAATACTAGTATTATAATACTCACACCCCACCTCGCTCGATGAATGATGTTTTTTTCTGACAAGTTTACATTGATTTCTGTGTAACTAATGTACTTATTCTTCTGTCTTTTAATCAGTAATAACAATTTCTCTCTGTACTGCACTTAATCTTCTCTATTCCAATTCACGCATTCTATACGAGACTCATGTGATAAAATCCAGTTTAAAATTAATTTGCGTTCACGGTCATGAAATATTAAATTTTATCACACAGAAATACACGTTAAGTTATTTTAACTGTTTGAGGGGGGAGACCGAGTTAATTCTTTTAATACAGTATGTGTACACGTTTGAAAAAATTCTATAATCGGGAAAAAATGTGGTAACCTCAGAAAATATTTTTAAATTAACTTTTTGTAAAATAAAAAGTACATGTAGTTGGAAATTAGTTTGAGATATAATTTCAAAGTTTCCCTACCTGGGAAACATGGGAAAAACTACAGATTGATAGCTTCCATGTCGGGAATCTATATGGAAACCACTGAGGCATGTTTCCATGGATTCCTATCTTGGGAAACTTACGGGAAACCACAGGTTGATTGTTTCCATGTCGTAAATCTACATGGAAACCACTGAGGCATGCTTCCACGTTTTCGTATCTTGGGAAACTTATGGGAAACCACAGGTTGATTGTTTCCATGTCGGGAATCTATGTGGAAACCACTGTGTGGTTTCCATAAAATGGAAACTATATGGAAACTACCGATGTCACGATTCCCATATGTTTCCATCGGGTTTCCAAATTTGGGAAACCTGGCTTTTCATCCTGGGCCTCATACACATATTTTTATGAGATTACTCGGAGTTAAGGAAAGATTCAAACTCGTCTTGTTTATATAATTCTAAAATGTCATGAACAGCTGATTTCAACGCATATAGAATACTGTAAACAGATCTATACATATTGAAAGATTCTAAGATACTCTTTTCGTTTGCTCTTAAGGTAAAAAATATTTTTAAAAAGTGAGCTATGGTGTCAAATATTTCGACAAATAGATGTTTATCCTTCAGTGCACACATATGTTTATTTCGTTGGACGAATATTAGATAAAAAAAATATTGAATAAAAAAATCCCAAAAGACAAATTAAAATACAATCATATACACTCAATACACAAGGTATTTTATCTTTCTGTATAGAGGTTGATTTCTTCTGTGTCACAGACTAGTATTGCCATGCCCACATTTGACGCCAAGAAGTACGATAGACTCGATTCAAAAGTTTCGAGGGGACGTTTTTGAGGAGCTATCCTTTTCGTCTGTAATATTCTCTTGTTTGAAATCGACGTTGCTCTGCTTATTCATTTTCAAAGAGGTGGTTGGACTGGCAGGTTACATCAGGAGCGTCGATCTTTTCTGCATAGTATTTTTTGTCCACAAGCTGTAAATAATATGAAGTACTAATGTTAACATTGAAATCAATAATATTGGAAAATTCTCATCATACATCATAATAAAATAAGTAATTAGACAATATCTTTAATGAATGAATATATACATTAGTTT